GGGGAGGCGCTTTCCCGCGGCTTCGTCAGGGGCCCGACCAGCGAGGGACCCCGACCTGGCGTTTGGCGGGCAACCGGCGGGCAGCGCCGCGGGGGCGCCGTGCGGTACCTGCAGCCACGCTGCGAGCGCTTCCCACGGAGCAGGAGAGGAGGGAGGGCCCTTCGCGCAGCCGAAACTTAGCTGTGCCGGTTTGGGGAGCTGCTGTGGGGACAGCTAAGTTGTCCTGACTTAACTTGTTCTCAGGTGAGACACCAGGCTCTCCCCGCAGCGAGGTGAAGCTCGCACCGTCCTTGCCCAGATTTCATCACTTGGCGCGGGCAGTGTAGCTGGTGCTGGGCCCAGTGTGGCTACACAGCCTTGGTTCTTGTGGCGCAAGCTCCCCGCTTGGTGGCTGCTGCCGATGCCACCGGCGGAGTGTTGGGATTAGAGCTCAGCCCTCGGGACTGCCACGGGCATCCGTTTCCCGCGGCGCTGTGCGGGTGGAAGGGGGCTGAGAACCGCCGCTCGCTGGGCTGCGGTCGCCAGCGCCTCGGCGGGGCGGGGCTGCGGTGACCCTGGAATTCTTGGGATCTGCCGAGGACAGTCGCATTAAGGACGCCTTTCACGGGGGATGGGTGGTGTGTATTCGTGTGGTTCGGAGGCGCTCTGCCTGTGGCTGTCACCAGCCACCCAGCAGGACCGCCTTCCAGGAACGCCCCGCCCGCCGTGCTGGCTCACCCTCGAGTGCGGCTCCGGGCGTGTGCGGCTCCGGGTGTGTGCGGCTCCGGGTGTGTGCGGCTCCGGGTGTGTGCGGCTCCGGGTGTGTCCCGCTCCGGGTGTGTGCGGCTCCGGGTGTGTGCGGCTCCGGGTGTGTGCGGCTCCGGGTGTGTCCCGCTCCGGGTGTGTGCGGCTCCGGGTGTGTGCGGCTCCGGGTGTGTGCGGCTCCGGGTGTGTGCGGCTCCTGGTGTGTCCTGTGGCGCCTGGTACTGGGTGGGCCGTGGACCGGGAACAGGGTTGAAACCTGGAGCTAGAAACTGGCCTGGAAAGTTCTTCCCTGGCTTACAGGAGGCTCAGTAGAGGTGTTCTAGATTTTATGGGAGTCCTGGAAGTTTCATTACTAGTAATGCCAAGTAGCTGTGAAGCTGAAAAAACCTTTCTAAACTATCAATAAAAAAGAAATTTGGATCAGCCAAGCTATAGGAAAGACTAAATTATTTTTTATTCTTTATAGGAAATATTTCAAAATCATTGGCATATAATAAGATAATTAAACAATATACAGCAACCAAAGAAACGTGGGAAGGTGTTCTGGAGGTATGCCTGGCAGTTAATGAATAAGTGTTATTTTGCTGTAGTGTGATTAAGTGATATTTGTATTAGTTTTCTATTACTGTATAACAAATTACTACAAATCTAGTGGCTTCAAATGACAGATTTGTTACCTGTAGTTTCCAGGGTCAGGACTGTGGCACAGCTCAGCGGGGTGCCCTGCTCAGGGCCTCACGAGGCTGCAGTCTTGGTGTCGGCTGTGGCTGTGAGCTCTGCTGAGGCTCCGGTCCTCTTCCAGCCTCCCCAGTGCTCAGCTCCTGGAGGTCCCCGCTACCCAGCGCTCTCCGCAGGCGTTCATACCATGGCTGTTGCTTCTGCAAGACCAGGAGCAAAGTCTGTCTGCTTAGCTAAGACAGACTCTTGCATAAGGAAATGTAATCATGAGGTGATCTCATCCATGCCCGTTGCCATATTCTGTCGGTGAGGAGCCAGTCACAGGTTTATCTGAATGCAAGGGGAGGGCATCACACAAAGGCAAACTCACTGAGGGCCACCTGAGGGGGGGGTGTATTTGTCCATTCTAAATTTTTTATAATGGGTTTTTAGAAAAAGACTTTTTATTAAGTTTTAGAGAGAGAGGAAAGGAGAGGGAGAGAGAGAGAGAAACATTGATGTGAGAACAAGACATTGATCTGCTGCACCGGGGCATGTGCCCTTACTTGGAATCCAACCAGCAACCTTTTGGTGCATACCCATCCAGGGCTGTAATGGATTTTATTTCTCCTTCTAGATTTCCACTTGTCTATCCAATATTATATGTGTAATTTTGTATTTTCTTAAAGAGTGGCCCCAAGATGAATAAACTTCAGACCCAAACCTCCATCTCTCCTGGATCATACTCTGCTATATCTTATCATGAGAAACTTTTGTTTGATGTTTGTTTCTCTTTATCTTATATGTAGCAGAATCTGCTTAATTTACCCACACATTTTTGCATAAAAGAAGGGATGCAGGTATTGAAGTCTGAGTGTTTTTGCTTATTAACCTGATTTGCTTAGGAAAAATTTCCTATTCTTTTGTAACAGAGACTGGGGAAGAAGAGAGGGCGAGGAGAGGAACTGAGATGGAGGAGATAAGAGTAGAGGCATAGTTTGTTCCTGAGGTGAGGGAAGGGGATTTTGTCCCCCTGAAGAAGAAATAATTGGCGATGTCATATATTTTTAGTTGTCACACCTGGGGGGCCAGGTACTACCAGCATGTAGTGGGTAGAGAGGCCAGGGATGCTCTTAACACCCTCCAGCGCGCAGGAGACAACTATCCCGTCCAGATTGTCCGTGGTGCTGCTGTGGAGAAGCCCTGGGCTAGAGGAACAGGATCCTCTCTGGGGACAGAATCCTTCTGCTCCACACCGCTGCACCCTGGGGGACCAGGAGTCTGCTCTGCGTTGTTCATTTTTATGATGTGTGTGTGTGTGTGTGTGTGGCATGCAGAAGAATCCACAGTGTTTTCTTTAGCTTCTTCAGAGAAACAAAGGACAGCTATGCTTGATCTTAGGCTATTTTTCTCACTGGCTGACATGTTGGAGGACTGGAAGGCAGCAGTTATTAAAGAGTCAGTAAATGAAGTCAGAGCAAGGGAGGAGTAGGGATGAAGTGGTGTGTGTTTCGGGAAGTCTTTAACTGGTTTCTACAACAATGTTGTCTGGCAGGACCTTCTGCAGTGATGGAAGTGTTCTCTGTACTGCCTCATACCTGGGGCTACTGGGGGATATCTTCTGAATAACATTTCTGGAGTTGAGAACTAGGAATCTTTCGTTTTAGAAAGCCCTCTGGCAGTTCTGACGTATGGCCCGGTGTGGTAACTCTTGCCTGAGAAATCAGCTGGTCAAACCTGATGTCATAGAAAAGGAAACAGTCTTGCCCTACCCAGTTTACTCAGTGGTTAGAGCGTTTGCCCGCAGACTGAAGGTCACGGGTTCGATTCCCGTTCAAAGGCACGTACCTCAGTTGCAGGTTCCCCGCCCTGGTCAGGGCGAGTTTGGGAGGCAACCAATGGATGTGCCTCTCACATCGATGTTTGTCTCTCTCTCTCTCTTTCTCCCCCCTCCTTCCCTTCCACTCTCTCTAGAAATTGATGGAGAAGATGTTCTCAGGTGAGGATTAAAAAAAGAAGCAGTCCTTTCCTTGGGGATGCCAGTGGCCTAAAGTCTCATGGGCCATTCAGACTCTTTGTTCCAGGTCCAGTGCTTTACCCTTAGTTTAAAAGAAATGTTAGCTTACATGGTGGAATTGCCATGAACATTGGCTTGTGGAAGGAGCCACAGTTCCGGAATTCTTTATTTTTATCTAAGTTCTGACTTTGAGAAAAATTGGAGGGAGTTTTTTAACCTTTTTGTCCTTGCCCTAACATGCTTGAAGACTTTTTAAGCTATTTGCCGTTTCTGGTGAGGTGAGGCTAGTGACGGGGAGACTTCAGACTTTCAGGGGCTAGCAAAGCCAACTTAGACGTGGCTCAGTACAAAGGGGTGTGTGTGAAGTTTGTCTTGGACTTGTGTGTCTTGGGCGTCTGGAACTGTCACACACAGCCCTGCATGGCCAGCGGTTTGATTCACCTTCACAGATACCACGGCTTTGGGGACTTCCTATTTCTGTGGAAAATGTAAACATCACGGCTGTGATCTAATGTTCTAATAATAGGCACATTTTCCCTGGCACAGAGGTATGCAGTCATATCGGGGCATTCTGACTCCTAGTGTCAGGAGTCAGTGGACCTCTTGTTGGTGTTAACCTTGAAAGCTCAGAAATATACACTTGAGGCGCTTTATGCCTGAGGTGGTGTCAGAGATT